ATGAACTTCACTAGTTTCCTCTGCATTTTAAAATCTCTGTTTAATTCACTGTTTCTGTTGCAAGTGGCCATGCCTTCTCTAATGGTAAAAAACAGCATTCCAACAGTAAACTTGTAGAATCAGTTATTTAAAGTCCAGGACTTTGGGGATTGGTAATGCTGGGGTGAAGGAAGAAAGAGAAAATAGCTCTCTTTTTTAAAAAAAGACCTTTGCACCAGGGATGTAGCTCAGTGTCACAAGTGCCTGCCTGGCAAGTTTGAGGTCATGAGTTCGATTCCTGCTATCAAAAAAAAAAAGTTACCAAAAAAGACCTTTGCTTTGTGCTATGGGAAGGACGATATAGGAGGCAGGGGGCAAATGTTCCTATTGATGGTGAGAGTATGTTACATATTTAGAAGGGAGATAATAGGGAAAACTGCATACAAAATTGGTAGTGAGAAATGAGGACTGGAAAAGATTCTACAACTGATACAAATATTAGAGAAAAAGTCAAAGGCAGACAAATTAAAAGGTAGAGAGGAAAAAGAGAAATATTGAGAATGAATGACACAGGAGAAAGAAGTCAGGTAAAGAGATGTGGATGGATGGATGGATGTAAGGGACAAGGGAGAATTTCCTTACTCTGAATTATCTTGGGAGAAAAAAGGCATATATACACAGACACCCTTATAAAAGAGACAAGGGTAAAATAATGGAATAAAAGTGTGGGGTAAAACATATAGAAGCAGGAAAATGGAAAGAATAAAAAAGTAAAGTGAAACTAAAAAACAAAAAAAATGGCATCAAATAAAGAATAATTAAAGAAAGTTTTCTATTGTTTTGGATGTGTGACTCTTTTCCTCAGCCTAGGGTTAAGGAGCAGAGCTCAGGCCAGGACATGTCTCTGTTCATGCTGGGAGTCGAGTGGGAGCATGGCACCAGTGTAAGCTTCCAATCCTGTACAGCTGAGACTGAACCTGGCTTCTGGCCACGGGAGCCTGGTCTGTGTTCACCAGCCCTGGCCTTTCAGTGGGACTCCTCCCACTCTGCTCTCCAACTGCTGGCTGTCTCCTGTGATTGTCTTTCTCTCATCTGCTCTGGGAACTCAGCAGTGTGAGGCAGCTAAGGGCTGCTCTGGGACTCAAGTTGAAACTAGTCAGCCCTTCCCTACAGTCGTGTCCCTGCCAGCTTTTGCTCTCAGGTGGTAGCTGCAGGTACTTATACTGAGGTCACCTACCAACTGTTGATTGTGGAAGGCACTGTGGATGCAGTGTCCCTCATTTTCCTTGGACGTTCCCACTGCAGGTGATTCTTCTGGTTCTGATGTAGTTCTCTGATTCTCCATGAGGAAAATAGTTAACTTCACTTTGTCTCCTAGCTGTGGCTAGCCAGCCACTGTCCCAGGCACTACATGAGCTCACCTCCATGATGTGAGCTGCTTCTTCTGTATCCTTTAACCCCATTTTCTTCTCTCTGTCAGTTCCCTTGTGTTTTCCAGGTAACCTCCACTCACTTTGATTCCTCTCCAAGCTATTATTTTCCAGACTGTGTAGATACTTTGTCCTGGAGAAGCTGAGCTGCTGGCACACTCTGCCAGTTTGAGATGCTGTTCCAAGTAATTTATATGTTCTTCCACACATTAAAGCTCAGTAATTCTGTGAGGGAGGTGCTATTAAAATTCCTATTCTTATTATAATTCTTAATTCTTTTCAGTTACTAAAATAAATGTAAGGTTAAGAAATGTAACTTGCCAAAGGTCTTAGAACTTAGAAATGAAGAACCTAGATTCAAATCCAGACAGTTTAATTTAATAGCACAATATACTAAATATCATGTTGTGTTCTAACCCCAGGATGATTCACTAAGGGGTGCCAGGTAGTAGATGCATGTCCTAAGAATATACATATAACCATTCTCCTCTTTGCAAGTAGGGTCCTTATTGCATACCGTATCCCACTCTGTCCTTGAGTAATAAGATTTCTAGCTAGATATGTGTCAGTTATATTTTTATATATATTATTTATATCACATACCAGTTATACTTCTCAGCATTCATTATGACTAAGTGTGATCATGTGAGAGGTGTCACTTATGAGAGGCGTGTGGGTCACATCAAAGCACAATCCATGCTCTTTCCCATTCTACAGAGTGGCTGCAGATGGTCAATGCACCCCTACGGGTGCAAAGTCACAGGATTGAACAACTCTGACCAGCAACACCAAATAAGACCTTTAAAGTGAAAAATACATAAATTTTGTTGCTGAGCATTATGCATTTTTCTGACTTTTTTTGGTTCAGCACTATAGGGTAAGCTATTAGATGAAAAAAGTGCCAGGAGGAAAGATTCAGTTTCTATATAGATGAAGAGCCTGGGATGGGAATAAAGGTTCTGGGGTGGGGATAAGAACATATGAACAAAATGCAGCAAAGGACCATGGTGAAACATATGTGCATATACACATAGATATACACATGAGCACTGTTGGTACATAAACCCTATTAGAGAAGCTGAAGGAGATTGTGGAGGGATTTCTATACCATCGTGTCATGGTTGATTCATTGTGTCAATTTAAGAAGTTTAGAAGTTTAACTAAGTGACTCAGCAGGGGGCCAGGGTCCTCACTTTGTAATCATCCTCATCCTGTGCAAGAGGAGGGCAAGGAGATGGTGTAGACTTCATACAATATAAGGGTGGAAAAAAAGCTTGCTCCCCACCTTTTTGCTCTTGTTGCTTTTACTGTCTTCCACCGCTATGACCTGCTGCCCCTCTGCCATACCACCCTGCCTTGGAGCCAAATGATGATGGATTGAAACCTCCACAAACTGTGAGCTAAATAAACTTTTGCTTCCTTAATTTTGGGCATTGGGTATTTTGTGTCAGCAATGAGAGTAAAGTAACCAAGACACATGGTAAATATGTTTTAAACTCTAGACCAGCAGACCCATGAGTTACTTAGCACCATGATTAGAGAATGCAGAGCAATATGGCAGCCATAACAAAGGCCAGGCAGTGATAACAAAGAGGACTCAAAATGTGATTAATGGACAAAATATGTCCTTTCTAAGGGAAATGTGCAGCATCAGGAAGGGATGGCCTCTGTCCTACAAAGTACTCCAAAAATCTTGGCTATAAAAACAGCTCCCCCATTTCCTCTAAAAAGGGCTTCTCAGGAGACCTCTGTTGGGCCATTTTCAGATTAAGACAGAGAAAGCTTTTTCTTGTGGCTAATGTCATGGACTTAGCACAGAACATTTCTGCTAGAACTGTGTTGGCTATAATTTAGTCACACAGCTGAATCTCTGACACAACAGGTCCTTTCCTAATATGCATATTCTTGAAATTACATGTTGTTCAGGGGAAAGGAAAAGGCGTGGGCCAGACATGTGGAGAGCAAAATGTGTTTGGGGTACTGATTCGCTAACTGGATGAAAAGGGATAAAAGTTCAACAAAGAATTCTTTGTAACACAGCACCGTTGGAGAGTGTAAAAATATTTATTATCAATTTCCTTTTAATATGAATAATGAGAGTGTAAGAAATACTCTCTGTCTGAGCCAGGTTGTCACTCTCGAGCTGATGTTACTGCGTAGTCTTCCTAGGTTCTCTCTCCTACAAAGTCACAAGAAGCAAGTTGTCCTCCCTCATCCCAGTTTCCTGCCCTCTCAGGACTTCTTTCCCAGGATGCTGAAAAAGGTGGCCTGAAACAAAGAGCAGTTTTTGGTTCTAGCTCAGTTTAGCAAAATTACAGAACTTTCCTTTAGGCAAAAATAATTCAAAGTGACTCAGATTGCAAACATTTGCAAATACCAGTAAATATCTCAAAAAAATGATATAAGAACAGGACCAGAGCTGGGTGAGTGTGGGTCTGTAGTCCCAGTACTCTGGGAAGCTGAAGCAGGAAGATCACAAGTTTGAGCCCAGCTTGGGCAACTTAGTGACTTAGCAATATTTTGTCTCAAAATAAAAAAAAAAATGGTTGGGAATGTAGCTCAGTGTGACTGCCCTGGGTTCAGCCTCCAACACCAAACACACACACACACACACACACACACACACACACAGAATTAGGTGGCTTATGGACCACGGAAGACAGTTGCCAGACACCAACTGTATGTAGAGAGCTTTCTCTGCTACATGATCAACAAAGACATGAGGGCAGAAAAGAGAACAGTTTGCTTTAAAAATGACACAAACAGGGTGAATTCACCAGGAAAAAAAATAGGAAAATACAGTTCTAGAACCCTTATTCCTGAGCAACATACTAAGTCTTTCAGTGAGACCCCCCTGATTGACTAAACTTTCCATGTGGATAATTCCCTTTAGTAGGTTATCCCCACATGCAGTAATTACTTGAGATGCAGCAGTCACCCAAAATGAATTCATTCCCATCTTATCCACACCAAGAAGAGGACATCAGAAGTTCTGAATTTGTTCATTGGAAAAATTAAAGCCTATGTTTTTTGTGGTTCTTTCTATGTTTTTACAAAGAAAAAATCTGGAGTAATTTTTACCTTATCCCTGATATCTAACTAATAGAAAATACATTCTAATCAGGAAAGCCTAAAATTACTAGAAGCAATGGTCACCAAGTCTAATACATCACAAAGATGCTCACATTTTAATATCTAAACAGATTCTCCAAACTTTATACAACCTAGAATTAGCACTAAAGTATTGTATAATATTAAAAAACTCACACTCACATCTGAGAACCATGTTCTTAGTAGCACAATTGGTGTGTATTTGTGAGTGATCATGAGGAGGGGAGCCAAGGTTTACAGCCTCCGTGAAGATGCAGAGAATTTCCAGAGATGCCTAAAGGGGAAAAGTCAGTGTGTGAGAGAGACAGAGGAGCTAATTTTCATTCTGAACTCTTAGAAAGGACAGTTGTACACACTTCAACCTTTCTGGGCTCATTTACATGACGTCTTAGATAATAAGCCCATATTTCTTTGTTGTTCCATGGGTGAAATTGCTACTTATAAGTTGCTGGAATAGGTAGTTTCAGAGAAAGTCACCCCTTTTGAAACCATCACTTACTCTTCCAACTTTGGGATGTAAGTGTGAACAGGGTCTCAAGAACATATCAGAGGGAGAGAGTAGAAGATGAACTGAGGTATTAGAGGTATTTGTATGGATGACTAGGGGTTATAGTAACTTCATGTGAACTTTGAGATAAGGCACTTATCTCTTCCACTGTAGTATTTTCATTCGCATTGAGCTTGTTATTCTGTTTGTCTACAACCAAAACCACCATATGCTTTGATTAGGCTGGAGATATGACAGGCACTGTTCTTTCCATGAGCTCATAAAATGTTCTCAAATCCAAACATTCATCCAACCAAAAATTTTCACTCATTTACCTATCTCAAAACAACATATTAACTTTGTAGGCCAGGGGTTTCGATGTTGTGTGAGGGAAATTTGGTCAAAAATATCTCTGGGACATGTTAATAACAAGGCAGAACTATGGCGGATCCAGAGAACTTAAGAATCCACTGTGTGCCTGCTTCCCATGATGATGCCACAAGAAGGCACAGAACAGCCCGGAGGACGATGGGGTTGACTTACCCTGGAGAAGAAAGTCCCTTCACACATCCTAGAGGAAATATGCTCAAAATAGACTTCAGTGTTCCTCTGATCATTTCAACTCTACAAATGACAGGGACCTTCTATCTTTATTATTTAAAAATTGAATTTATAACCTCTACTTGATAAAGATTCAGTTACCTTTCCTCTCTGGCACTGATTCAAGTGAAAGGGATTGTTAGTGAAAGAGGAACATCATCAAAACAGGCACAGAGGAGAACTCTTTCCACTGACATGAGTTACTGAAGGCTCCGAACCAAAACTAAGCTTGATAAACATTTTGCCCAGAGAGCTTGGTTTGAGCTCAGAAGAAGAGGATTCAGGTAAGAACATGAGGACACTCTTTTCACTGAGCCAAGATTTGTGCTTGATGCTATAAGCTTTCTAACACAAAACTGACTGGGGTTGCCAGTGAATGGACAGAAAAATCCAGAGGGAAAGGGCAAATACTTATCTACCCTTCCCAGATGGTCCAACTTAATATAATCCTATCTTTGTTTTTACTCACAACACTGCAAGTAGCTGCATCCAAGTAGGACTAAAAGTACCACTGTCTGGAAAGCTCCCTCACATATTCCCCTAGTCCACAGAGCTCTCCAAATCCTCGTAGTGGGCATTAACTTTGGCTCAGTCAGGGCCTCTGAATACTTCATTTTCTACAGGTATAATGGGAATGGACTTCTGGCTCAGTCTTGTCCTGTTCCCCCCACCCCATCTGGGAATTCTGTCATATGTATGGTTTGTAGTGACTCTCGGCCCAGGTCATAGAAAGGTCTTCAAATCTAGAGAAGAAATACTATTTCCCCAGACCATATAGTAGGAAGTGCATTTTCAAGCTCACATCTGAATGGATCCCTTCCCTTTCCTCCTTCCTATGGTCTCATGGGTTCCACATAGAGACTTACATTTCTTTAGACATGTATCAATCTTACTGAAGGGGGGTTTAAATGTAACAAAGGCAATGAGAAGGATGGTCACTGCCAGTAAGATGCATAGCCAGGAGGCCACATTTGGGTCTAAGCTGAGGTCTGACTTAAACTCACACATGAAGACCAGAATAAGGACACTGAGCTCTGTCACTTCCTCAGTGATGAGATGATGATGTCACTGCTTCAGAGACAATGGAAATGATGAACATCTGGGTGAGGATTGGCCAAGCTTTGTCTTCTATGTTCTATGAGGAACATTGAATAAAATCAAGTAGCTTCATATCTGTAAAAGTCTCAGTGGCTCTCTAAACATGACCAGAAACAGGAGCAACTCATGCAAAGTTTTCAGAATAAAAGGGTCCTTGATTTTCATTACATATATATACAAAGAAAACAAGAACTTTCCCCAGATTTCTTGACCCTAGATCCAGGGTTACATAGACAAAAAACATATTTAAATCTCAGGTAAAGATGAATCAATTATTATTTATTTATTTGTCTCTTTGAGACAAGGTCTCACTATGAAGTTCACACTGACCTTGAACTCCCAATGATCCTCATGCCTCAGCCTCCCAAATGCTGGGATTGCAGGCATGCTCTCCAAGCCTGGCTAAGAATCAATTTTATTTAATTAATTAATTTATTTTTTTGTTTATGGTTTTTCTCCAATACTGGGAACTGAACTCATGACCTTGCACTTGCAGGCAGGCGCTTTGCCACTGAGCTAAATCCCCAGCCCAAGAATCAATTTTAAAAAGAGAAATATCAGATCCTTTGCTAGAAGTTCTGGCACTTCCTAGTTTGGCCTGCTTATTTATTTAAAAACATGTGTGTTTCATTGACTGTGGTATTATCTTCTCAGTCATATTAGCAACAGGGAGGTTATGTCGTCTTGTAAGCTAAAAAGAATGTCAGGCAGTGGATGCTCTGAACATCACCAGAACATGCTCCTTTGGCAGCAATTCTGGAAGCAGAGTGTGGAAACAGACAAGCTATAAGCTCACCTCATAGAAGAAAAGAGTCTTTCTTGTAGCAAGAACTTCACTTTAAGCAATATCTCCACATTTCCAGCCTACTACACAAACCCATCTAACATTTTTCTAAGACCATGACTTAATCCATTCTCCCCATTTCTGAGAAGCACCTTACAGTAGAAGTTGTCTCATGATAAAAGTTACTTTCCACAGAGATTCCCAGCCCATGGGGTGACTGCGCCTTAGCACCGCTCTTCAGTGCACACAAAGATCCCAATTCTTGTTCTAAACGAAGCTTTTTTCTAAGTTAACACTGACAAGACAGTAATGTACTCATAGTCTTTGGCATCTCCCAAGACCTGTTCTATTTCACCTCCAGGAGCCTGGACGCCCAATTGCTGTCTGCCATGTCTACAGGGTGTGTTTTCTCTCAAGATCGGCAAGCTCTGTATTTCTCACCCCAAACACGAGGCATCAAAGACATTATGACACTGCCTGAGCATCTAGAATGTACCCAATGCTCCTCTGTAAGCTTCTCATTCGATGGAGGAAATAAAATCCCAGACAGGAAAGTCAAAGTTAAAGGTCACCTTGTGCTGAAATATTGGGAAATTGTTTGCGGGATATTACGAAAAAGTGGCAAACAAACAAATATAGCTAAAGAGAAATGCTTTCCTGAAAGTGAAAGTGACTTGGTGGTTGTAGGGGATGGAAACAGAAAATGAGATGAGTAGGTGCCTCGTTGACTTTATTTTGGGGATATGCTCAGAAACGAGAAGTTTCTCAACCTAAACTTTAAATTGTGTATTGAGACAAAAGTCATATTAAGAAGTGAAACACAGATACTATTTTAGTTATTATTACTTATAATCTCTGGAAGAACATCTACCCTCTTGTCTTGCTTGGCCTTCCTTTAAATAACTGCTGCAGAAAGGCTTTGACTGCTGATGTCAGGTGTTCCAGGCAAAAAGTTACTCAGGGATCTCAACACTTCTCTCTTCTCCATAAAGCTCTTTCTTCTTTATTCATAATGTTGTTCAGCACTTTTACACTTTTGAATAGAATCTATGTCCTCTTATACAGGCAAACAAAAGAAAAAAAGATCTTTTTCAGAATCATGGAAGAGATACTTCAAAAACTAGAAATATATATGCCTTTCTAGTAAGAGCTATATTTGAAAATTTAAGATTAATCTAATATTGCTAAAAGCTCATATAAATAAAGGAGGAAAATGAATTGTTGACAAGTAAGATATCAGGATCACATATAAAGACAGTAATAGTTCAATGGAATATTTTTCTTTTATGTTTTTTATTATATAATCAAGAGAATGGATGAGTTCCTGGACTTTTTCCATGACATCCTTAGCATTAAAGACAACTCTTTTTGTTTCAGAAATTAATCAAAATAAGCTACATGACCATATAAATATAAGCCCCCATTGTCAAAGAGGGAAGTTTGAATCTTTAATCAGTTTACGTAAGGGACTGGATTGCAAAGAGCATCTTTTCATAAGTATATCAGGTATATCTGCATTCAAAGAGGCTCGGCAAAAGATATTTATTTGGGGCATTAGAATTGGACTTCTGGGAGCACAGATTCCAGTAGATAAGAATGTCTCAAATAGGAAGGGACTTAAAGGGTCCTTTAGGGTTGAAAAAGAGAAAGATAAGTGAGTTATTAAAAGGTACAATAGATACTGTGAAAGGGAAAGAAGCTACTCAAAAGGAAAGAACAACTGGAATAGGGGAAAGGGGAAAAGTAAGAAGCGAAAAAATATATATAGCTAAGATAATTTACTACTAACTTCTATTAGTTCATTGAAAGGAACAGTTAGTATTTATACTGTTTTATCAATTTTGCATGCGTATATCTGGTAATCTGCACAACAACTTTGAAGATACAATATGCAGTATAATAACCACTGTCAATTGCCTGTCATCTTGTTTTAGATTCTGTACAGCTTTCATTGTTTTTTTCCTCTTTAAAATAAAAAATGGGTTATCATGTTGGTCAGCTTTCTGTCACTTAACAAATACAGAAGCAACAAAATTATGAAGAGAAACAGTTTGTTTTGGTTCCACGTTTCAGATGTTTCACTACATGATTCCTTGGACCAGTCACTTGGACCTGTGACAGGCATCACTGAGGGAGGATGAGGCAGAGCAAAGCCATTCACTTGGTGCCCAGAGAGCAAGAGAGTGAGAAAGACAAAGGGCGAGAGTCCCACAGTTGCCTTCAAGGGCACACCTACCTCCCACTGAGACCTCCCTCTTAAAGGTTCCACAGCCCCTCAACTGCACACTCTGGAGAGCAAGCCTTTAAGGGGGCCTTTTAGGGAACATTCAAACTATAGCAGTTATGTAGATTGTTATGACTTGTGATTGGAGGATCAATTTATTTCTATAGTGCAATGGGTCAGCATAAAATGATACAGTGAAGACTGTATCATTGTTTTAAGAAAGTTTAGTCTGTACAATCTTCAAAATGTTCTTCTAAGCAAATAATTTTCTTTTTTTCTGGGAGATGTAGTTTGCAGGGGTCTTTTGCACTTGTCTTGAAAAATTACCAATTTTTACTATGCAAGATGATGACCTCTAGCAGTGGTTTCCTGGAGGTTTTGAAGCTTCCTAGTGAGGATTTCAAGCACATTAATTTCCTGTAATAAACCACTTCCTGCTTTAAATGCCTAGAGAGTTTCTTTTTGATGTCTGATTTTAGAAACCTCAGTTTCCTTCAGTTCATTTAGCCCTGGGAAGAATTACATTTTGGGGAGCGGGGTAAGAGTGACATAGAGTTTCCATCTCTCTTTCACAGTGGTGAAACACCAGGAAAGAAACAGCATCTATGGTAGCCTATAGGCCTGTCATTGAATATATTAGCCGTTGATAATCTCCATATTTAAATGGTCACTCTGAACTCTCATGCTTTTGAGACCTGTTCATTTTCTAGAAGATAGATTGGAGAATGCCATGCTTCACTTAGTGTGACCTCTGCTGGTGGCACTATGGAATTGTTCTAGTTAAGTCATTTTAGACAGCACAGCGTCACTGTGGATCCCCTTTCGGGTACTGAGCTGTCAATTTCTGAAAAAATGAATTTTGAAGTGATGTGGGAGAAAGGAACAAATTTTATAAATCGCTATGGTGAAGCCCATCATTGACTTGTGATTAGTAGAAGTTTTAAGTGTGATATTAAAAATCTGCAATGGATAGTTAAGGGAATTACTAGAGAGAAGTTTATGAGCTAACCAGATTTCAGCATAGATTTTGTCTTTATTAAATGAACTTAGAAGAGGTTACAGTTCAAGTTTGAATGGAAAAGCTTGCCATTGTATTCCACATCTGCTGTTTACATTCCTTTGCTGAGCCTACATCTTTATAAGTTTCTCAGCAGGTAAATGTTGAACACTTTCACTTCATGGTCAATATGGAATCAGAGGCCAGCATACAGGCAAGTGACTTGTGTGTTTTCTTCCTTTTCCATGGCTCTATCTACTGCCTCATCTTGATTTATAAACAAAACCTGGAAAACCTATAAAATGAATGTTTTGTGATTTATCTAGAAATAATACAGAAAATATTGTTGTTATTTTTGGTGAAGAAAATTTTGTATAGTTTATTTCAATCTAAATAAAATGTGAATTTTGTTTAAAAATTTTTTTAAAAAACTTTTGAATTTATTCAACTAACAATAAAATTCTCTCTCACTTAAAATGTCATTTTTTGCCCTGTGTACACACATATTACTTTTTAAAATCTTCTTACAAGTAATATTGCTGTTGAGAAGTTTAGGGTCAATGGATTCTTGATTCTTTGCCGGTAAAGTGCCCTTCTCAAATGGATGCCTCACTTTTTAACTTCTGTGCAATTTCTGGCTATTCGTTATTCAATTCCTTCCTTTTCTCCAGGTTTGTTTCTTTTTTTCCAGGACCCCTGATAGTTACCGTCTGGCTCTATGTTTTTAATCATTTCAGGGATATTTTCTATCGCTACTTTTTTCTCTTACCTTCTTGGTAAATTTATATTTTAACTCACTAATTTGTTCTTCAACTATGTCCATTATATTTTTTATTTTTCATTGTTTAACTTCATAATTTAGTAACATTTATATGTACTGATCTGGGTCAGGGACACAGTGAGTAGTTTAGATTCTTGCCATAGTTTCTGTATCTACAACACAAGTGATGAAACGAACTGGGAAAGTGCAACATCAGAACATTCCTGTGGGTCTACACTCTCATTTTTCCCTATGAAGCCCCCTTCCCAGGTTGAAGCCACTCCCCAACCTCTGCCCTATTCACTGCCCTGATTTACAGGGCCAATCTGGGCTTCAGACTACTCAGAGAAGAGACTCACTTTGATGTAATTAATTATTTAGATACTTATTCTTATTATCACTACTCTTTCTCTAGAGATGATTTTGGAAGTGGGCCCTTTAAATTTCATTGTTTTGGCAGGAATAAGGAGTCATGGCATGTAAAATAAATGATCCCTCTTACAAGACATGTTTTGAGAACATAATATTAGTCGCTGTCTTTTTTGAGCCAAACTATATGAAACATTATCAACTACTATACTACATGCAATATTAAATATGTTTTTACATCTTTGGTCAGTGGTAAGGATGCTAATTTCCAGACTTCTATAGATGCTATAGAGCTTTCAGAGCAATGTAAGCTATACAAGGCACATCACAATTTTCTTCCAAGTGAAGATCGGCAAAGATGCTGGTGTTACTGTTAATCAGATACTACCAAAGGTTCAGGATGTTTTTCTGTTTCTCATTTGACTCGTTTGAATTTGTAACCACAGTGGTTTGAGGCAGGAAGAAAACTTTTTCTACATCAAAGGAAATAACAGCAGCTACTTTTGCATTCAGGAAAAATGGGTGGGTTGTGGGTAACAGTTATAACATTTAACATTCTATGTTTATTGTATTACAAGTAGTCAGTTAATGTCCAATTATTATAATTGGATTTATATTCCTTATAGTAATGCTTCTATGTGGACACAGTTTTCCTTAGTAGCTACCAACTAGACTGTCATGTTCCTATATGAAAATATGGGTAGCCCACGTTGCACCACAGCCCAAATGCTGCCTTGTATTCTAATAGGCAGAATGTATTAATCCCATGTATTGAGGTCAACCTGTGCCTAACATCCTCAAATATGGGAGTTAGGGGTCAAAGACTGGCTAAGCCGCAACTGTTGGACGGATAAAACATTTTTCTAATTTCCTGCCCATGAGTGAAGCATACAATCCTGTTTAGACAAAATTCTTTTACTTTGCCTCTTTTGGAGGAGGTACTTTTTTGAGGGGGGCTTGCTTTCTTGTCAGTTCTATATCTCAGGAAAGAGTGTAAATTTTGAGAAGTTTTGTAGAACAATTTTTAAAATTTGTAAAAGAAAGAAATAGGAAAGGGCAGTAGAGGGAAGGGGCCTTCTGAAAGCAGAAGGAGATACAAAAAGAAATTCTCACATGTGGAAGGATGGGACAGAACGACAGTGATATTGTTTAGGTAAATTTGTTCATATTTACGTCTTGCCTCAGGTTATATTCCTCTATGCCTCCCATTTTAGCATCAAAACAACAGTAAATATTGATAACATAAAATAACTTTTAATACCAATATTTTAATCCCAATATTTTGGACAAAGTAACAAAATGTCTGTAGAAAGTGAACTGCGGCAGAGAAGATAGGATCATGTTGGGAGAGGGGGGATGCAGAAGCAGATTAGAACTCAACAAAAGCAGCTTTCTAAAAAGTAGCAGTTGGAAGCCTGATAAGCCAGCCACACCCATGGGCCATTAGAAACACTACAGAGCATGTAAAAATGAATGATTCAAACATTTTCTTTCTCATTATTGAAAGGACCTGAGAACATGAATGTGTTACCTATGGATGTTAGGTTTCATAGCAGGCGAGGAATGAACAGCCTTCTTCCTTTTCCTTCCACTGAGAGGCACATTTTGAGGTGGATTTGGGCATGAAAGTAGGTAGTTTTGTGCCAAATAGTTTATCATTTGACTCCCTATACTTGAAGATGGAGGATTACTTAATTTCTTCTAAATAGGTAGAGAGAATATACCTATGTATAATAGAACTATTTTTCAAGATGTCACCATCAGCACCTTTTAGAATGTGAATTGAGGAGGATATCTACACTCACCATGTCTATAACATGCTGAGAGAGGAATGGTCCACACCCTAATAGAACATCACTAAACCTCGATTAGTCTACTTCTATCACTACTCATACCTACCAAGAGATACTTTCTAAAATTTTCCCACTGAGCACAGAAAACAACAGTTTCCCTTAGTAAAACCTAAATGTGCTATGGAGTATCTTGAATTTGTTTAGAAATTAAAATATCATGGTAGGGTTTGTGATGTAACTCAGTGATAGAGCACTTACTTAGCCTGTGCATGGTCCTGAGTTTCCCCAGCAGAGCAAAAGTAAATTAGTTAATTGACTAATAAAATAAAATATCAGTGTAGTTTAGAATATATGATACAGTCTTCTCTGAGAGCTATAACAGATGTTTGTTATACATGAGCTCATATGAGGTGCTATGCCCAGTAACTTTGACCATGAAAATTAAAAAAAATTTACTTGGAAATAAAATGAGGTGTGAGAATCTTTACAATATAACTAAGTGAAGACCTTAAAAAATTCTGCCCCAACTGACTTCTTTAACTACCTTTTCTGACTCTGTCTCTGGTACTTTTTAGATTTCTTACATTTTGGATTCATTTGTTTTTACATGAAAGCTCTGTCACATCTGCACCTGCCTCTATTCACAGTCATTGAAAGAGGGGCCAAAATCATGCAAGAATAGATGAAGTAATAGAGATAGCACATTTGTGGGATATTCAGGAGTGTTTACCATGGGGTCATCTGTCGGGAGAGAAACCTCAGCTCTGGCTCAGAACTCAGCATCTCCTTTAATCTGAGCAAAAGTCACTCCCCTGGGTTCTACCAGGAGAAAAGAAGGTGTATCTGTGTAGAAGTAGCCAGGATATGAATGCTGTAAATGCAGTTTGTGTTGGCATTTCTGGGTATTCAAAAGAATTTTTCAGTTATACAGAACTGGTCTAGAAAGACCAAAGTATTTATTATTCTACAATTTTGCTAAAAAAAGAATACAAGCCAGTGTTATCCTATTGAGACACACACTGGGGTCATTCCTAAATCTCTAGTCTGGGCCAACATGTAACAAGTCTCAATGTGATACAGGAGGCAACATTACAGAGGCTCTGAACTCAGCATTCTTCCATCCTTCATTCTGGTCTTTTCAGATTCATTCATGAGTTTCTCCCTTTTCCTATCTTCTTCCTCTGAGCAACATGAAAAACAACCAGAAATGGGAAATTTAGACCCTGGTCTAGTTATGACCAGAGACAAAGCAGGGCCCCTGTGGAAGCCTCAGGGTCCTGGGCAAGGTGAAGTTCAGTATGATTAGGGATTCAGATAATTTCTACACAATATTAAACACACAGGAAAACACAAAGTATTGACCTCAGATAATATTATGGGAAATATCTGTCATGAGCTTATTGGCAGACTGAAGAAATATGTAAAGCAATATTTATCAGTCCATATAAACAATTAGGAACATGGAATTAGAGAAAGAAATTGTGAATGTTCCACTTTTCCGTGGCAGAGTCTCAGAAAATTAGTGATAGGAGGATACCACTCTGTTATCATCTATTCCAGAAGGGGACCTAGGGGTCATGTCCTGACTTCTCAAATGTCCACAGGAAAAATCTCAGCTTCTTCTGGAAGTCTTAAAATGTGTGTCCATTGTAGTCTGGATTTTGAATGTACCCAGAGCTCCTGTCCTGAAGGCATTATCCCCAATGCAGCAGTGTTCATAGGTGCAGCCAACTGGAGATGATTAGCTCATGAAGTAGCTTAACTTCTCAATTTGTGGATTCAGAGCTTGATGGGATTTGGAGAGAGGCTTTGTTATAAGAGTGAGCTTTCTCTCTCTTTGCTTCTTGGCCACCGTGAGTTAAAATGCAGAAACTCTTGTTCAGTAACTGTTAGAAATCTCAAAACAGTGACGAGAGTAACAAACAAAACCAGAGAAGTGGCTGGGGATTTAGCTCAGTGGCACAGCGCCTGCCTGCCAAGCACAAGGTCATGAGTTTGATTCCCGGTACTGGAAAAAAACCCAAAAAACCAAAACAAAACAAAAAACAAAACCAGAGGATGCTGTGCAGTCACTTTGGCCACATTTCCGTGAATGCGGTCCTGAGGATGTCTGTCTCAGCCACTCCACATACAACAAGCTCAGGAAGAACTGCAGCTCAAGAAAACTCTTCATTTCTGTGATTGTATTCTAGACCATCAGTCTTCTGCTCTCTAAAAGCAGGGAAGGGTCTCTAGTGGAAGCATGGATATGGGGTGGACCTATCCCTAAGAATAAGGGTAGGGTCTATTCTCTTTAGTATCTTCCACATAGAGTCTTGTGCTTCCCCTATCCATAGTGAAAGGACAGATTCACCAGCAATGTCCAATATATCTCCACACCCACAGTCTTCAGTGTACATTGGCAACTTGTTCACTGAGCCACCTGACAGTAAGAAGCATTTTAAAGACAGACATGACAGACAAGCTCACTCATCTGGGAACTAGATAAACATTGAGAACAGAAACTCAGCCTGGATGGCCATAAGACCAGGGAGGACAAAGAGTGGAAGTCAAGTAGGTATCCCACCTACCTTGTTCTTCTGTCCATAGAGATAATAATATAAAACCCATTTTTCTCTTTTATTTTTCCTTTTTAATTATTTTGTTCCCCAGCCTATTAGTCATTACTGTTTCTTCATTTTACTGGGATATTGAAAGATTTGAGAACTTTTAAAGCAGGTTTTAAGGTGTTGTTGATTCTTTAGATGTTGATATTACTGATAGTTGTTCCTTTCTCACAATGCAGTGCTAGAGACTGATCTCAGTACTTTGAACAGGGTGAGTGGGTGCCTGAACAAAAATCACAACCAAAGCCAATGACATAGCACAGGGAGGAATCATTGTACCAAAGATATCTCTAGTATAGTGGTAGAGCTTTCTATTCCAAGAGACCTACAAACTTCAGCACAAAAACACGCAAGCATGAGAAAACAAAGCAATCAAATGCCTCAAAAAATTCATTACTCTCTCAAGTCTTCTCTTATAGATGCAGAAGTAGATCATATTGCAAAGAACTGAAAAGCTAAGACTTAAAATGACTGAAGGGACAAAAGAAGGGACAAATAAGCTGCTGAACAAACTGTTTTCTGAGGTGGAAATTCATTGCTATAAATTTCTCACTGAGGACTGCTTTCATTGAATCCCACAGGTTCCTGTAAGTTGTACCTACATTTTTGTTTGACAGTACATAGTGTTTAATTTTTTTCTTTGATTTCATCTGTGACCCGTTGATTGTTCAGGAGGGTGTTGTTTAATTTCCATGAGTTTATGGAGCTCTTGTGATTTCCTTTGTCACTAATTTCCAATTTCATTTCACTATGGTCTGACAGTATGCATGAGATAATTTCAACTCCTTTGCATTTCCTTAAGCATATTCTATGTGCTAGCATATGGTCTATTTTAGAGAATGTTCCATGTGCAGCTGAGAAGAATGTGTATTCTGATGCTGTTGGGTAGAACACTCTATGAAGGTCTACTAAGTCCATTTGTTCACAGGTTTGGTTTAGTTCTGTTATTTCTTTGCTAAGTTTTTGTCTAGTTGATCTATCTCTTTGTTACAATGGTGTGTTAAAGTCCCCTGTTATGATTATGTTGCTGCTTATTTCATTTTTCATGTCTGTTAAAATTTATCTTATATAGTTGGATGCTCCTGTGTTTGGTGCATAGACGTTTATGATTGTTACCTCTTCCTCTTGAAGTTTTTCCCCCACAAGTATGTAGTGACCTTCTTT